CTATATTTTTAAATACAGAAATTAAATAACAAATATACTCTATTAAATGAGAAACAAATATTTTACTTATTTTTTTCAATAGATTTGAAAGATAATTATATCTTTTTTCATTTTAATTATTCTTTATTATTTATAATAACATATCATGTAATATTAAGGTGTGGAGACGACAGTCTACTTGCGGTACGAGAAGTTATTCGGATACTGCAGGAACTGTCTAAGTCTCTGCCATGACCAACAACGCTGCCCCCTGCGGACGGGAGCGGATGAACGGAAACCTAAAGCAATCGGTCTTGAGATAACAGACAGAAACCAGAGTGCGGCATCGTACAAGACGGTCACAAAATATGGAGGGGGTGGAGGAAGAGACTCGGTGAAAAATGAGAGTGTGAATGCGGGCTTTAAAGGAAAGGGCAAAGCTCATAGAGAAGAAGCTGATAACAAGATGAAAGGCAGATCGGAGAAGAAGAACAGTGAACACTCAACGGTCTTAATGAGACCATCAGGGTATGTCCCTCCAAAGGCGCTACACAGGACATACAAAGCCAAAGAAGCAGGCAATAATGGTGCGGAAATTTCTGACAAGGAGTTGATTCCCACGGTGGAGGTTACTAGGGACCAGAGGCAAGAATTCCCAGTAGATAAGGCGATCACAAAGGTGGATAACAACATTGAGAATCAAACCGGTATGCATCAAATAAGAAGCTCATCAAGGAAGAGTCTTTCTTTTGATGAAGATGATCTCATGGATGAACCGGTGTTGGACGGGAGAACAAATGCTACCAGGAACATGGAGTCGGAGGTGATTAATCCGGTGATAGAACGGAACAATGATGATGGAATGGCAGGTGACGAGGATATGCAGGAACAGGGGCTGACCTTATCAGCCAACGACATCTCAGGCTATCTGATGGAACACAGCTTGGAAGCTGCAAAAGAGGAGGAGCTAAACTTGTGCTCGGAAATGCAGGACCATATTAAGTCAAGCTCCTCCGGTAATGAAATCGCGGTGACCCTTGGGCAAGATATGGAGGCTAATCCGGACATGCATGGTAACTTGCGAAGGAAATGTGGAAAAGGAAAGGGGTGAGGATGACTTTGAAGACGGTGAATTTTTCCAAACCATTACAGAGGTTGAGGATCTATGGGATTCTGCTGGTCTTGAGGTCACAGTAGCAGATTTACTGGGAGAGACAGAGCCTGCAAAGGCATCGGATATAGAGGGAGGGGGACTCGGAGAGGTGGTGAAGGAAGGAGACAAGAACGATGCAAAAAAGAAAACTGTCAAGAGCAATCCGCTCTTTCTAGGAGGCAGCACAAAGAAGCGACTGGTCCAAAAATTCACATCTCCGCGGAAAAAAACAAGGGGTCAAAAACGGGAACCACATAGGTGACAAAGGCCAGAATGGAGCTCCGAAGAGGACTTTAAACCCAAAACAGGGGCAGAAATCAACAAACAAAGCGATCAATGAGGGTACTTAGCTGGAATTGTCAGGGTTTTGGAAGCAAATGGACAATAAGCTAACTGCGAGAGATTTGGAAAAGACATAGGCCCGAATTTTTATTTCTTTCTGAGACTAAACAATGTTTTTCTTTTGTGCAACAATTTCAATTTCATTTTGGTTATTATAAATTATTTACGGTTGAACCTTGCAGAACAAGTGGAGGACTTGCACTTTTTAATAATGATCATTTTAATATTAAGGTAATATTTTCAAGTGCAAGAATTATTGATATCGAAGCGGTTATTCAAGGAAAAATTGTTTATCTGTCCTTTATTTATGGTGATCCGGTTCCAAAACAGCGGGATCAAGTATGGGAACGATTAACGAGAATCAGCCTTTCTCGAAAGGAACTATGGTTTATCATTGGGGACCTAAACGAAATTACTGGTAACCATGAAAAGCAAGGTGGAGCCTTGCGACATGCATCAACCTTTACATCCTTTAATCTCATGATTAGTATTTGCGGTTTCCTAGAATTTCCGTGTTTATGAAATACTATGTCTTGGAGGGGACGCAGAAATTCCAAAATAGTAAGATGTCGACTGGACCGAGCTCTAGCAAATGAACACTGGCATGATATGTTCTGTCATTCGTTTGTGGAGTATCTGGCAATGATTGGATCGGATCATAGACCGATAGTAACAACAATTGAGGATAAAATCCCCCGGAAGAGAACACAATTCCGATTTGACATACGATGGATTGGTCAAGAAGGTTTAATGGATACTATATCCACAGAATGGAATTTAAATTTCGGGCGACGAGAGGGAACATTCATGGAAAAAATCTCTAATTGCCGTCGAGAAATATCTAGATGGAGGAAAAACAATCTACCATACGGGAAAGAGAGGATTACTGAGTTGCAAAAGGAGCTTGAGGACGTTCAAAATGATGATACAAAATCGGAGGAGGAATTACTAGACGTTACAAGGAAATTAAAAATAGCCTATAGAGACGAGGAGCTATTTTGGCAACAGAAAAGCCGGAACAATTGGGCTATTGGGGGCGACAAAAATACAAAATTCTATCATGCGCATGTAAAACAAAGACGAGCGAGGAACCGAATTGTCGGTTTATATAATGCGGCAGGTTCATGGGCGACTTCCGAAAAAGAGGTCGAACAAGTTGCAGTGGGATATTTTGAGGACTTGTTCACTACCACCTCCCCATCAGAATTTGAATCAGTACTTGGAGAAATTCAAACTCTAGTCACAGAGGAGGATAATCCCATGTTAGTGGCGGAGGCAACAGAAGATGAGGTGCACAAAGCTTTGTTTATGATGAACCCGGAAAAGGCTCCAGGGCCAGACGGAATGACAGCCTTATTTTTTCAAAAATCATGGCAGATAATTAAAACGGATTTACTTGGGTTAGTAAATGGCTTCTTGGCAACAGGGATCTTCGATTAACAACTAAATATGACTAACATATGTTTAATTCCTAAAAAGGACAGGCCGACTCGAATGACGGAGCTGCGACCAATAAGTCTATGCAATGTTGGATATAAAATAATTTCTAAAGTTTTGTGTCAACGGTTAAAGAGACTATTACCCGATATTATTTCAGAAACACAATCGGCTTTTGTCGTGGGACGCTTGATCTCGAATAACATTCTAATTGCACAGAAAATGTTCCATGGGCTCCGCACCAATAAGTCCTGCCAAGATAAATTCATGGCAATTTTGGTGGAACACGAAAAGTCAGGGGAAAGGAATGCACTGGCTAGCATGGCCAAAGATGTGTCGTCACAAATCGGTTGGGGGGATGGGTTTCAGGTCGCTAGAGAATTTTAACACGGCATTGTTGGCAAAACAGTTATGGCGATTAATAGAAAAGCCAGATACGCTATTTGCGAGAGTACTCAAAGGACAATATTATCGGAATGCAGATCCAATGGACAACATAAAGTCCTATTCCCCATCTTACGGATTGCAAAGTATTATCTCAGCTCGATCTCTTGTTAACAAAGGGCTAATCAAAAGAGTTGGTTCTGGATGTTCCACTTCGGTTTGGAAAGATCCCTGGATACCATCTTCTCGCCCGAGATCAGCAATATGTAAGGGTTATAATTATTACCCAAATCTCATGGTGAATCACCTAATTGATCCGCAGACTAGTACTTGGAATATGGGGCTCCTCAATGCCATTATAGATCCAAAAGATGTGGAAATAATACAAGGGATGCCCATCGGCGCTTCATTTCGGCCGGATGTACTGGGTTGGCACTTCACAAAATCAGGCCAATACACGGTCAAATCTGGATATCAAATTGAACATCAAAACTCGGAAGCAGAAACACAAAATCTATATGGACCTAATTTCGAGCCCCTATTAGTAAAACTATGGAAAATGAGGTGTCCCCCTAAATTATGCCATTTTCTATGGCAAGCACTGTCAGGTTGTCTGGTTGTTGCCAAAAACCTGAACAACAGAGGAATCAAATGTGATGCGCAATGCAATAGATGTGGGGCAGAGGAGGAAACGATCGTTCATGTTTTATTCGAATGTCCACCTGCGATGCAGACGTGGGCTTTGTCACAAATCCCAACACCTACGTGAGTTTTGCCAGGAAGATCTATTTATGCAAATTTGGATTATTTGTTTTGGCGTACACCAACAGAAACTTATAATGAATCATATCCTTGGATAGTATGGTACATCTGGAAAGCAAGAAATGACAAACTATTCTCAAACATAGACAGAGATCCACGATTAACGCTTAAACTAGCGGAAACGGAAAGCCTTTTATGGAAAGAGACACAAAACTCGGTAACTGAAACGGAAACACAACATCCTCAATTGCCATTACACCCGACCTCCTTTAATAATGGATGGTGCTCGGTGGATGGTTCTTGGAAGGAGACTGATAAAACATCAGGTATAGGCTGATATTATAGGAGAAAGGAAACCAATGAGACCATAATGGGGGCACGGAATTTACGACAAAGCTTATCTCCCTTACATGCAGAAGTAGAGGCACTATTATGGGCAATGCTGTGCATGATTGAAAATCAGCGAAGAGAAATAGTTTTTGCAACAGACTGTTCTGATGTGGTGAAGATGGTGTCGGCACCTACGGAATGGCCAGCATTTGCACTACAATTGGAGGAATTTCAGAAATGCAGAGAAAAATTATTTTTTTTCAAACTGATCCACATACCACAAGCGAAAAACACCAAGGCGGACGCATTAGCTCACAGCGCTAGAATCTACCTAGAGAATATGATTTATGTAAACTCATCTCCACCTGTTTGGTTAACAATTTCGGTTTAGGAGAAGAGGCTGTGGACAAAAAAAAAATCATATAATATTTTATAAAATAAATTATTTTTTAAATATCTATTTAAATAATAATATAGAAATTTAAACTCATTTTGATATCAAATTAATATTCGGGTCGGATCAGGTCAAGTGCGGGTGATCCAAACCCGTTTAAAATTCCGCCCCCATAAGGCCATAGGTAAAACCCTCCAAAACCTAAATGGTTCTTCGCCTCCTCTTGTCTCATCTTCTCCGTCCAGAGTGTACCTCCCCTACTTCGTCGTCATGCTTGAGTACCGTTGCAGCTCTGTTGACTGGAAGCCATCTCCGGTGGTAGCCCTAGCTAACAGCGCCGACGATTCTCAAGTCGCCGCGGCTCGCGAGGACGGTTCTCTTGAAATCTGGCTCGTTTCCCCCGGCGCCGTAGGATGGCACTGTCAACTCGTACGTACTCTACGGTTTCCTCTAGGAAACTACACTTCTTAAATCTCTTCCGATTAGCTTTTTAGCAAAGTCGAATTGGATTCGTGAAGTATGTCGAGTTGATTTGTGTTTTTATTAACCGTTTTCTTTCGGATTTTCGGGGATTGGGGTTTCGACCTTTTTTTTTGAGTAGACCATCCATGGCGATCCAAACTCGAGAATCTCGTCCCTTGCGTGGTGCCGTGCTGGTTCAAAACGGCTGCCTTCCGGCCGTTTGTTTTCTTCGAGCATCGATGGCTCGATTTCTGAGTGGGATCTTTTCGACTTGAAGCAGAAGGTTAACCTCTCTAGAAATTTCATCTTGTTGCCTCTTCTCGTTGACATTTAGATTTTGTTTTTTGGTTTCTTTCTATGTTATGCAGACTGTGCTCGAGTCAATTGGAATCTCAATCTGGCAAATGGCTGTTGCTCCAACTAATGTTCCCTCCGTTGATGCAGAAGGTAAAGCTGATAACCGGATTGAGAATGGATACTCGAGTGAGAAATCGAATGATGAGGAAGAAAGTGGGAGTGAAGATGAATCTGACTCGTACGAGTTTCATGAGCAATCAGAGGATACAGATAGGCTTCTTGCAATTGCCTGTGATGATGGCTGTGTGAAACTATACCGTATCTCTGACTTAAACAAGTTAACATACTATAGATCATTGCCTAGGGTCAGTGGTGAGACATCTCCACCCTTATTCTAGTAATCTCAATCCTCATTTTTTTTTTTGTGGTTCCTTTGATGCATTGAAAACTATATTCGTAGGACGTGCCTTAAGTGTTACATGGAGTCCAGACGCACATAGGATCTTTTCGGGTAGCAGCGATGGGTGAGTTTGTTAGATTTGAATAAATATCGATGTTTACTTGTGAAGGTGACATTTCAATGTTAATAAGTTATTGTAAGTAACTGTTTCTTTCGTCTCAACAATAATGTGTAGGCTAATAAGATGCTGGGACGCTAACTCCTGTCACGAGGTATACAGAATTACAGTTGGTCTTGGAGGACTAGGAAGTACTTCTGGGACCTGTGTTTGGTCACTTCTTTCTTTGAGGTACAGATGATAATGTTCAACTTTAACATTGTGTCTGCTTTTTCTCTGAGAGCTGATCTTAGGCTTTATCATTCTCTTGCTGATAATGTTCAACTTTAACTTTATTAGGTGTGCAGTTCTTGTTAGTGGAGATAGTACAGGAACTGTCCAATTTTGGGATAGTCAGCATGGAACTCTTATGGAATCACACTCTAGTCACGAAGGTGATGTCAATACCCTTGCAGCAGCCCCTAGCCATAATCGAGTCTTTTCTGCTGGTGCGGATGGACAGGTAAATGAAATTAGTAGAATGCAGTAACTATTACTCTGTTAGAATTTTAGAATATGGTATATGATTTTCATTGTAATTGTGAGGACCAGTCTCCTCCAATATAAATGTTTTTTTTTTCGTTGATTCAATATTCTTTTGATAAGAATTGAAACTAGAACTTTTTCACCAATTGTGATGAAATGGGCTCAATGTTCAATTTTAAAACCCTTGAGAAAAGGAGAATAATCGAACAGAGTATAGTATATGAATCAGAAAAGGGCTTTACTGAAGTGTTTGTTATGCTTCTTTCATTGTAATGATGTCAACATTCTTATTTTCTGGTCATCCTATCTGTAGGTTATTCTTTATAAGCTCTCTGGTAGTACAAACAGTTCTCAAGATTTAAAGCCTTCTTCCTCTCTGAAGTGGGATTATATTGGCTATGTAAAGGCTCATACACATGACATCAGAGCTCTTACAGTTGCTGTACCAATTAGTCGAGAAGGTCAGCCTTATTGATTTTTTGTTATTCAAAGTTTGAGGATGTCGTGTTAAATATGATTTGCAATCAAATTGCTCTTTTCGGATTCATACTTCATACACACATGCCTAGAAGCTAATTGATCCCTTTAGTAATTATAGTGTTATTAAGTCCCATTTTTCTGCAGATCCCTTTCCGGATGATATGTTGCCAGATAGGAGTGCACGTAAACAACGCAAAAAAGGGAAGCCAGTTGACTTTACTTACCAAAAATGGGCTCATTTGGGTGTTCCGATGCTCATTTCCGCTGGTGATGACGCAAAGCTTTTTGCATATTCAATTCAGGAATTCACTAAGTTCTCCCCACATGATATATGTCCTGCGCCTCAGAGAGTACCCATGCAAATGGTACATAACTCGGTGTTCAATCAGACTTCTCTTCTCCTGGTTCAGGGTATTAGTGATTTAGATATTCTTCGACTTAACGTAAGCAATGATTCTAGTGGACGTGCCTCAACAAAGCCATTGGTTCGTGTTAAAAGTAGGGATGCCAGGAAGATCATATGCAGTGCAATTTCTAACACTGGATCACATTTTGCTTATTCTGACCAAATTGGCCCCAGTCTGTTTGAGTTGAGGAGAAATGAAACTGCCAAGAGTCCATGGAGTGTCAGTAGAAGGCGACTTCCCACACTTCCATTTGCCCATTCCATGATTTTCAGTTCAGACTGCTCACGGCTGATAACAGCAGGGCATGATAGAAAAATATATGTACGTGCTGAAGTTGTGCTATGAACTAGGAATATTGCGCGTTCAAATTATTTGTCTTGTTTAAATTTACCCTTACTTCTGAATCATATTTTGTTGTCAGGCTATTGACATTAGTAGTATGGAACTAGTAGATACTTTCACACCATGTCGGGAGGAGCAAGAAGGTGAATCTTCACCTATGGAGCCTCCAATAACAAAATTGTATACTAGCTCAGATGATCAGTGGTTAGCTGCTATCAATTGCTTTGGGGATATCTATGTATTCAACCTTGAAACACAAAGGTGGGGACTTTGTGAAGCTTTGCTGCTTAATTTATTTATTATGCTCCAGCATTTGGTAAGCAGCTGCTTGTACTTTTGTATTGAAGTTGTAATTTTGAAGTTGACTTCTATTGACAGGCAGCACTGGTTCATATCAAGGCTTGATGATGCATCCGTTGCAGCTGCTGGTTTTCATCCTTGGAATAACAATGCCCTTGTGATCTCAACCTCCTCGAACCAGGTCTTTGCTTTTGATGTTGAATCTAGACAGTTGGGCAAGTGGTCGCTTCTGCACACTAACGTTCTGCCAAAGAGGTACCAAGAGTTTCCTGGCGAGGTCATTGGACTCTCATTCTCCCCGTCTCCAAATTCATCTTCTGTAATAATTTACAGTTCCAGGTATTGGTTGCACTCTTTATTTAGCCTAGTTAATTCGCATCTGCATTTAAATGAAAACTCAATACCGTAACACCTTCCTATTTTGTTTGCATATCAGGGCAAAGTGTTTGATTGACTTCGGGAAGCCTGTGGCGGAAGATGAAGAGAATGAATTTCCAAACGGCAATCTATCTAAAACACTAGAAGGTAAACTTGTCAACATGGGGTTGAAATTGGGGAAAGGTACAAACCGAAAACGTCGGTTAGAAGAGTATCAGTTAGAGGGTAAGAGTAAAGAGAGAAAAAACTTTGAAATCTTACCCTCAAAGCACCCTGTTTTATTTGTGGGTCATCTTTCTAAAAACTCAATCATGGTGATTGAGAAACCATGGATGGATGTTGTCAAGAGTTTCGATACTCAACCAGTGGACAGACATATTTTTGGGACTTGAAATTAGACAGGAGTTGTTTAGTCTGAAGAAGATGACTACTTTTTGTTTCTGGTGAGGGGGAGTACTCTTCATTATAAGTAGAAAAACAGATAGAGATGTTGAGAGTGAAGAATTCGTATCTGTTTACTTTTTTCCCTTTTGTGTTTTAATTATTCATGAATCCATATGTTCTGTAATGTTGCCTCAGAAAATGAATTATGTTTCAACTTAAAGTTACTTTCCTTTGAGACTGGTATGTTTCGAGAAATTAGATTGCATAATTGATGTTTGAAGTTGGGACTTGCAATTTATATAAATAAATGTGTAATGATTGTAAATTGAAAGTGCTATAAAAAATCGAAATTCTTTCTCTATGTTTTTTTTTCGTCTGCAATTCCACCATATATTGGAAAGCCCAAATTACGAGTGGGATATGTACAGAAATTTCTACACATGAAGCATGAAGACAAAACACATGTTTAAAGTGATAAGTCTTGCAGAGATGTCAATACGGGCCTTAACCTGCGGGCCAAGCCCAATTAGATCTGCTATGGGGCGGGTTTGGACACAATTTTATATGTCCATGAATTTGCGGGTTTAACAGGTTTTACCTGTTGTGGATTGCGAGTCTAATGGGCCAACCCGGTGCAGTTCAGCGGGTTTGAAAGTAAATCGCAAAAGACAAGCTTTCTTGGAGGAAACGATTACTTTCCTTTGATTGCGTTGAATCACATACCAAATCACTTCAGTTTTGCACCATGCTGCTGACGATTGCCGTGATCGTTTTTTCATAATTGTATGTTTAGAATACGAAATAAGGTGTGTTGCAGCGTAAATTTGCACTAATTTGTAAAGTAGTCATAACTAGATACTGTAATAAGAATCTGAAGATATAAATCTTTTTAGAATCAGTTGCTCTTCTCTATGAACACAAGCTAGCTTAATAGGATTTTGTGAACATCCCACTTGAGGATTGTTTTGTTTGTTGATTTTGGTTGATCTCTGATGCTTTGATTCGATTAATAGATGTTCTAATTTGATCTTTTAAGGTTTGATTCTTTGGACTGTAGATTTGACTTGAACAACTAAGACTCTACGAAGTCACTCTTTGTTGTTATATCATATATTCATATTGTTCTTTTTTTTTTTTTTTTCTGAAACTGATTCGAATTCTTAATCAGATGTCTTAGATTAGAATCGAGGAGTTGCTAGTTAGCATATTGAATTATAATAATTATAACTATTTCAATTTAAATCCACATATATTCAACATTTTTGTACCAACTAGAGTTACTTGAACCCTAACCTAATTTAGCAACTAAAGCTTAAAGGCTGCTAGTCACAACCTACGACGCAGACGCATGTTAAACTAGTCATTCGGCTGAATCACACAACATAGAGTTTGACAGTTGACACACAGGTTGAAGGGCTTGTTAGTTGTTGATAATAGACCTTAATCTGGTAAGTTTCATTCATATGTGGTTTTATTCATCTTGACGCAGCTACAAAACTGATAAGGACCGCGGTAAAATTTCCGATCTTATCACCCCATGAACTGCCGTAGGATTTTGAAAAGCTCTAAACGCATTACTCACTACAAGAAAACAACTCATTTCCATCGAATTTTTACGAATTTTCGTTTATTGGGAATAAAAAATGTTGTCATTAAATCGTTGTCAATTTCATACTGCTTAATGATGATTTTACGACGAATACTAGAATTGTGTCGTTATTAGAGTAGCTAGTAGTATGTATTTAACAATGAATAACTGACGAAGGTGAACACGTTTATATTTCTGGGTTTAACAGTTTTTCCTGCTGCATATAATTCACTGCTAAATCGTGGTAATGTCAATTTCGTTGTAAATTCGAAGTTAATTTTCGTTTCTAATTTGATGGAAACCAAAATAAAAATCTATATATAGTGCCAACCTCATAATCAAAATTTTATCAATATCCCAATAAAAAAGGCGCCTAATCTCTGGGGAAGAAGTTCAAGTTTCAAAAATATTCACTTCTCTTAAAGGAGGTGAAGAGTGAATATACGAAATGTGAATATACAAGTTTCGTCAGTGATATACAATTGTATTGATTCGGAGGGATCGCTAACAAACGAGTTCAGTGAGGGGATGGAGGATTCTTGCATGAGGCAGACAAACTTCCAAAGACGATTACCATTCGCATGATATATTGCTCTTGTCCTAAATGCATGAATAGAAAAATTATCACTATCTCGAATGTGTAGTTGCATTTACTAAATATGGTTTATGCCCCATTATTTTCTATGGTATTATCATGGAAAAGGTCATGGAGAAAATGGAGCTAGTAGTAGTGGCAATTATCAAGCATCAAATTCTGATGAGTCAAATAATTTGCATCAATATGATTACCATGTAGAGCAGCACGGTCTTCATCATGATAGGATTCATGACATGGTTACATGTGCATTTCATGAAACTGGAAATATATTTGCACCTGGCCATGAGGAGCCCAATGTAGATGCAAAAAGATTTTATAATATGCTAGATGCTGCCAATTAGCCACTTTTTTTTTGGTTCTAAAATGCATTCATTAGTTGATTAAATCGGATTGGTTCTCTCCTGTACCACAAACCTGGTACGGAGTGCTGATTTTGCCAATTTGTCTGCTAAACCATTAGCTATGAAAAGAAAAGACACATTTCCAATAAGTATAGAGAGACACTCTAGTTGTCGAAGGGAAGTAATGTATTCCCCGATGTTGTTAAAACTGAGAGGCTTCATTTTGTTCTTGAAAGGTGCCAATTTACAGACATTTTGAGCAAAAGGGCACCGAAGGAACAGGTGTAGATCAGATTCCGGTTCACTACATCTTGAGCATGACGTCTGGGCAATGATTCTCATGTGAGCCAGATTTTCTCCCGTACGCAATGCTTTTTGCATGATTTTCCAAAGCAGCATTTTCAGCTTCTCCGAGAAGCGACCATTCCGTATTTCCTTCATCCAGTCAAAGTTCTGGTTGGTGGTTGGGTTAATCTCTTCGTTCTGAGCCTCCGCTTGGGAGCTATAGTAGCCTGTTCGAGTTAAGTAATCTCCTGATGATGTGAGCAACCAGACATATTTATCTTGAGACTCAGTCAGGCTGGTTTTGATGCTCATGATCTCTTTCTCATACTCTGGTATTATCATGCTTATGATGTTCACATCCCATTTTTTTTGTGTGTGGATGAACAGGTCAGCCACTTTCATTTTATAAATCAATTCTTTTGCAGGTCCATGAGGCCGAGCAAGTTCAGGAGCAGAGATCCAATTATCTTCCCACAGTCATGTGGTTTTCCTATCACCAATGACCTTCCCCAAGTTCTCTTTGAGTAAATCCCTCCCCACAAGTATCCCTTTCCATCCATGGGATGCTGATTCAGGGCTTATGCATTCCATGAAGGAGGAATTGCAGAAATATTTTCCTTTGAGTATGTGACTGAGGAGACTGTTTGGTTTGGTAAGTATTCTCCAGCTTTGTTTAGCTAAAAGTGCACTATTGAACGTTTGAATATCTCGAAAGCCTAAGCCTCCTTCTCTTTTTGCTTTTGTGAGTCTTTCCAAGCTACCCAACACATCTTCCTGGATTCTGAGTTTGAATCCCACCAGAATCTGGTGAGTAAGGATTGGATTCGTTTGCATAGTTCAACCAGCAGCTTGAAGCACGACATAGTGTAGGTGGGCATAGATGATAATACAGATTTCAGAAGGACCATCTTCCCAACACTAGAGTGTCTGCTTGTGGTCCATGAGATTGACCTTTGTCTCATTCGATCTACCATGGAGTTAAATAGATCAGACTTTTTCCTGCCAAACTGTTCTGGTAGACCCAGGTATTTGCCCACTCCACATTCTGTTTCAATTCCAAGTGTCTGTTTAACTCTGCGTCTGGTGTGAGGTGATGTTTTCTTTGAGAAAGTTATTGCTGATTTCTGTTTGTTGATCATCTGACCAGATGCTTGCTCATATTCTTTCAGGATATCCATAAGAGCTCTGCAATTTTGAGGGTTTGACTTACAGAAAAACATGGTGTCATCTGCGAACAACTAATGATTCAACTTTGGACATCCCCTTGCGACTCTAATCCCATTTGACTTTTCTTTTCGTTGTGTTTTTTTTGTAGAGGCCTGAAAGTACTTCACTGCATAAGATAAAGAGGTAAGGTGACAAAGGGTCTCCTTGCCTGATTCTCCTTTGAGGTAAGATTTTTCCTCGTGCATCTCCATTCACAAGAATGACACCGTTGTAACACACTCCATAGCCCATTGGATCCATTTTTGATGAAAACCCATGTTTTCGAGTACCAACCTTATAAATTCTCATTCTATACGGTCGTATGCCTTTGACATATCCGTTTTAACTGCCACTGACCCTCTCTCATCTGCATCTGAAATTTTCAGGAAATGAAGTACCTCATGGGTTATTAGCACATTATCAGAGATTGCCCTTCCAGGTACAAACGCTGACTGGTTCTCTGATATTATGCCATCGAGAATTGGATGTAGCCTTGCAGTTAGAACTTTAGAGATAACCTTGTAGTTTACATTGCATAGGGCTATAGGCCTGTAGTCTGAGACTTTTTTAGGAGCTTTGATCTTCGGGATTAAGCAGATATGAGTACTGTTGATGTTCATCGGTGGAGTTCCGTTTTCGAAGAATAGCTGAATCTCATGTACGATCTCTGATCCAATTGAGTCCCAGTTGGTATGGAAAAAACTTGCTGAAAAGGCATCAGGCCCTGGTGCTTTATCAGGGTGGATAGAGTAGATTCCTAGTCGAATTTCCTCATCCGTTGGGATTTTGATCAGTTTTTCATTCATTTCAGGGTATAAGCGATGGTTAATTGCACTAGCTACAATATCTGCTATTTCTTCCTTGTGGGATGTGAATAAGGTTTGGAAATACTCCGTTATTGCAGTAGTAATCTGATCCTCCTCATAAACACTTATACCATTGCTGTTTTCAATAACTGAAATATTGTTCCTTGCTCTTCTTCCACTTGTTGCAGGATGGAAGTAGCTAGAGTTCTTATCTCCAAGACTCAGCCACATTTGCCTGCTTCGTTGTCGCCAATACTCTTCCTCTGCTCGGTAAGCTTTGTTTAGCTCGTCATTGATCTGTGTTATTTGAGATTCATTGTTTAGTGGGCTCGTCATAACTTCCTCCAACTCTTTCCTTTTCTCTTCAATTTTCTTTTGACTGTTAATATGATGCTT